GCCCAAGACCCTCTTAATGCAATTTCGAATAATCGCATTCAGTTTCCCTTGTTCTTTCCTTTCCCACCAATGCACTGCGGCAATGTAATTAATGTGACTCAGAAGAAAGGCATGGAAAAGCCTCATGAGGTTGGCCTCACAAAGCCCTCCACGCCTGTTAGACACCCGAAGTATAAGCTTGACCATGCTCTCCGCCTTTGCCGCAATACGAGTCAGAGTAAGAGAGTTACTTCCGTGCTCCTCCAGGAACATGCCTAATATCCGAATTTTATCGACACGGGGGATGGCCTGCCCTGACCGTGTGTGAATTTCGATCCTGATTTCTTCCGGCGGAAATGGAATAGTGGTGAACTTGCGTTTCTCCGGCTGTGTGTACAGGAGGAGCTTCGACTTGGCGGTCGACAAGTGCAGCCCCGTGCTATCCAAAAACTCCTCCGTGCACCTGAGCGCCTGCTGGAGGGACTCCTCAACGTCTCCGTCCCTACCCCCAGTGCACCATATAGTAATATCGTCCGCATACAGCGCATGTCCGATGCGGTCGATACGAGAGAGTTCGAGCGAGAGTTTCCTCATCGCAATATTAAAAATTAGCGGCGAAATGACCGATCCTTGAGGGGTTCCCCTGGGTCAATATGAAATTCCTTGGAGCAGAGGTCCCCGAGCCGAATGGTGGCAACGCGATCCCTGAGAAAAGAGCAGACGAACCCGTAAAAGCGGGCCCCCAATCCCAACTCAGAGATCGAATCCAGTATGTGAGGATGTGAGATATTATCGAAAGCTTTCCCCAGATCGAGTGCAAGAATCCCTCGGATATCTCTGGTGTCTATGTCGAGAATTTGATGTTTAATCATTTTCATAACGTCCTGCGTAGAGAGCGCGGGACGAAAGCCAATGAGATTGAAAGGGAAGAGCTCGTTTTGTTCAATGTGATGGGAGATTCGGTTAAGGATTGCATGTTCCGTGACCTTACCCACGCAAGACGTGAGCGAGATCGGTCGGAGCGTGCCGAGCCCGAGAGGTTTACCAGGCTTGGGAATGAGGACGACAGAGGCCGTTCGCCACTCCTTCGGCACCTGCCCCGACTCCCAAACCCGGTTGACCTCGTCAGTTAGTAGCTCAATGGATCTATCGTCCAGATTTTTAAGTAGCTTGTTAGTGATACCATCCGGCCCGGGAGCCGATTTTTCATTGAGATCAAAAAGGACCGCCCTGATCTCTGCCGTGTTGAAGGGAGAGTCCAGCTCCGCATCCTCCAGACCAGAGAAATCCGGGTAGTCTGCATCCGTGGTAGCCTCCAGGGGGAGATACCTATACGCCAGCTGTTGTAAGATTTGATCATTGGAGAGCCCAGCAGACCTCTCCTTGTGAATGAGCCGATCAACAGTGTGTTTCTGATTAGCTTTAGTTTGCTTATCTCCCAGGAGGTGCTTGAGAGTGTTCCATTTCGCCCCTGACCGCATCTGCCCATCGACAGCGTTACAGACCTCATCCCATTGTTGTCTTGCCAGGGTTTGGCTGTACGATTCAATCTCCTGTTTGAGCAGAGCAATTTTCTTTCTCAGCCGCCTGTTGAGTCACTGCGTACGCCATCTGTTAAGTAAGGAGTTTTTGGCTTCAAGGAGCCTCGCTAGGCGGCTGTCCATGCGTTCCGTTTTAAGATCCGTCTCCACCACCTTAGTGGCAGCTTTAACATCTGCCTTAAGACACTCAAGTAGCTGGCCAAGGTCATCGTACTCTTTTTCATCGCTTTGTCTGAGTTCCCGAAAGGCATCCCAATCAACAATTTTGAAAACCCGCGGCGGCGGTGCTTTAACATCGAGGGAGATAGACGCGATGAAATGGTCGCTCCCCAAGTTCTCATGCAAGTTCTGCCAGAAAGGGCACTCGACGTTCCTGACAAAAGTCAGGTCTGGCGTGGTGTCCCTTGCTACAGAATTGCCGAGACGTGTGGGAAAGTTGTGATCAGTAACTAGTAACATACTAAGATTGGTAGTATGCTGCAGAAGCGCCCGCCCCTTAGCCGTATTATTGATATAGCCCCATGTCTGATGTTGCGCATTGAAGTCGCCAGCAACTGTCAATGGAGCCGAGCCCGCGATTTCGGAGGCTTTGCAGAGAAGCGCATTAAAAGTCTGCCGAGTATCAGATGGTGAGCTATAAACGTTGAGAATGAATAGGTGCTCCTTAGTCCGAGAGTTTGGGATTAACTCAATGAGTATGTGTTCCACCTTTAGGTCTGGACGTACATCGCGAACCTCAAAGGAGAACTCTTTGGATATGAGGGTGGCGACCCCGCGTTTTCCTTCGCCCCAGCAGGCCACGGAGCGATAACCCCGGAGGGCCACCTCTCCTTTAAGGGTCTCCTGGAGGAGTATTACGGCTGGCTTATTCTCCTGTGAGCTGACGAACTGCTGCAAGACTGCCTTCTTCCTGTGGAAGCTCGCGCAATTCCATTGCCAAATGACAAATGTTTTATTTAGCTTAGCCATGATTGCTACTTAGGTTTTGCTCCACCACCACCACCCTTGCAGAAAGGGACTGGATGACAGAGCTGACACCAGCGATGGCCTCCTTAATTTCACGGACCACCCCCATAATTTCCTGTTTAAAGTCACTGAACTCCTTCTCGATATCTACCGGAGGGTCAGCGGCTTTTCGCTTACCACCTCTAGGTTGTGCCTCGGCCTGCTGCACTTTCACCGCCCCTTCCGGCGTGCGTTCGCGCTGCCTAAGCTCCTCAACTAATGCTTTAATCTCCTGAAGCTCACTCCTCAGAGTTGCATTCTCACGCTCTAGCTGCTGTATTCTAGCCGTAGCTTGCTCTGGCAACTGGCGCTGCACGATAGTGCGAGACTCACGTTTTGGGCCCACTCGTTCAGCCCAGGTAGGTTCCTGCTGAATCCGGGCACAGGAGGCAGACCTATCCCTCGAGCGAGAGCGGTGACCCGCACCCCGCCCAGGGTTATCAAGGCCACCCCCCTGGTTGAACCCAAGCCCGGGAGCTTGCTGTGACACGAACTCCGCGCGCTGCTTGTTTGCTTTTCTCCGTCGTCGCTTTCTACGCCGAACGATGTAGGGAACCTGGTACCTGCTTTGGCAGGCCCGATCCGCCGTCGGATGCGCTCCTCCACAGATGGAGCACTTCGGCTGGCACGTATGATTCTCAGGGGGCGATGACACCCCACAGTCCGGGCAGGTGATGACTGTAGGAGTGAAACAAACGTCCGAGCGATGTCCCAGCTTTCCGCAGGTTCGACAGGGGTCGATTTGTCGTCGGTAGAGCGTGCACCGGATCAGGTTCGTCCCACACATGACGTAGTTTGGAACTTTCATACCGTCAAACAGGACGATCACCGTGGGCGTTTTCTTGATACGCCGTACTCCAAGAACCTTCGGATTTCTTGCGTGCACGAAGAGCTCACCAAGCCGGTCATCAGAGAGCTCAGGGTCGATACCGCGAACAACTCCTCTGCACGTATCCCCGGGTGGCGTCACGTAAGTAGAGACTTCATGGAGCGTTTCTCCCACTCGAATTTGCTTCACTTTAGCGCAGGCTTCTGCGTTCCTAGCGTGTGGCGGGCTGATCACAAAAATGTTCTGCATTTCATTGGCACAAACAATATCTTCCTCAGCCTGCGGCGGGCCGAGAAAAGCAGCCATCACCAAAGCTTGGGTAACCTTGATTCCACTGACCTTGCGCACATCCATGCCTCCCTTGGGACGTACGACAACCCGGTAGTGATCTTTAGGCAATCGCGGTAGGCGCGACGCGGCGATGAGCTTGTTTATCGGCCCCTTCGGGTGCGCTGGACGGGCGGCACGATGACCGGCACTGGGGCCAGGGCTGTCGCCGGGCGTAAAATCCTGACGCTGCTTCTTCCGAGAGTGGGCAACAATCCATCTGGAGGCTTCATCCTCCTGCCTGGAGATTTCTTCGCCGAAGACCATCTCCTCGAGTGGCATCCTCGAAGCGTCTCGCTCGGCAGGCCGAGCTGAGCGCCAGCGTGGCCCCGGGTGAAACACCCAAATGAAAGTTCGAAAGCTTGACCTACCCGCAAAAGTCGGGTATCCACTCGATCCTAAAAGAAACTGGATCAGATGAGTCGAAAAACCGAGGTCGATCGGCAAATTTGCGGTCAAAAACATTTAAAAAAGCAGGAGCCGATGCGAGCGCGTCCGGCTCGCGTCTAGCAAGCGGCGGCCGTCTGGCAGATGACAAGTACGTACATGCGGTGCATGAGTGAAAGCCGGGGCGAAATTGAAGCGCTATTGGGAAGCTCACTCAATGAACAAGTTCACCCAATACAAGTAAAACATATTGCAGCTCGACTCAGTAGAAAGGCATACTTTCCACTTCGTACAGAAGCGGTAAAATTTTCCCAGCTCATAATACCATGCATTGTTAAAGGAGCGTGGCCCGAAAACTTGTGACCTCTTCCCCCCGCCCCCCCTGTAGGTGGTCAAGTTGCCTCTGGGGTCTGAAATGCACATGCTGTAGACATTGTGGAATGTCGAGAATGGTCTTCCTGACGTTAAAATACACAAGAAAAGAACAGAAACTTCTAGATGAAAAGCAGGAGACATGCTAACTGCCAGACCTTTCTTGAGCAGTATTGTGTTTGGTTTGTGAAGCGTTTGCTCGTATGACAGTCGTGCATGATGCTTAGCCACGCTTACGATAGCGCGACGCGCAGTCTAAATATGACACCGCGCAATAACTCTCCGTCTTCTTGTGTGTACAAGTCACAACCCCTTTCCGCGATTGAACTCATTTGCTTGGAGTTGCGACAAATGTTTTGCAAATAGAAGAGCAGCACAGAGAAAATCCGGAGCAGCGCAAACCAGAGTCTGCTACTATATCCATATTTCATAGAGCAACTATCAGAAACCCTAAATTACATATACATAATCATTCAATAATCAGAAAATATCCTGCAATACACTAAAAGTGCAAAACACTTCCTGTTTCTCTATCTCAGAACTGAGGTAATCTATATTACCATGTTGTCTGTATGAATGAAATTCTGGAGGTTGATCAGGTTTGTCCACCAGTTGTCTCGGCATGCATTCTGGTAGGTCCCAACAAAATCCATCCAGACGGGTCCATCCCCCAGGTGGTACAATAGGAAAGCACAAAAGGCGGCTGCTGCCATCATGAGAGGCATCGTCCTGCACAGGATTCCGCAAGGAATGAAAATTACGTTCCGTATCTATTGAGGAGAAAAACATGAGCCTTAAAAGATAAAATAGTTCACCACTGACCAAATAATGAAATCCAACGAAAACAAGGCGCACGTAGGTTTTATCGCAATAGCAATTACATGGACACTCTCGGCTGAGATTTGCCGCTGGCGTAGACGTCGGTGTCATTCGCCGCACTTGTATAAGTCTCCATATTTGTGAAACGCAAGAAAAAATGTTACTTAGAAATAAACTCTGGTGTGTGATTATTGATATGTTGGGTTTACCCTCACAAAACCACCATATGATTATGAGAGATGCCGTGGTGGAGAGCTCCGGAAATTTAGACTACCTACGGTTCTTTAACGTGCTCCCAAATCTGAGCACACAGGCTGTTACGTTTGGCCGGACAATTCGTCTGGGCATACGCCATTGTGCGTAAGCCGGTCTACTGGGGAGGCTTTCAACCCCTTCGGCACCCAATTGCCAGACGCTGTCGAAGATTTCGGCAATTAAGCAGACCATGCGGCAAGTGAAGGCGAGTTCCTGACTTTCAACTACGGACCCTTTCGTCGTCCCTCCCTTCGAGCGGCAGCGGTGACTGATGCCCTCGGGGACTCATCTGGTGAGGCGGAAGCTGTTGTGACCGGCGCCAGAGCTGACGAGGAGCGGCGCTCTTTTAATCCTCAATCAAGTAGCTGACCGGCCAGCTGCCTATGCCCGCCAGGCATTGTCCCTGCTAGCCGGAGGGTGAGACGTCGTGTCGCCACGACGACGTAAACCGTTCGAGAGAGGACAACAAAGACAGCATCTTCCTTGGAAGAGACCGTGGCGGCCGCTGCAAATCACCCCGCTAATTGAGCGAACAGATCGGCGGACCCTTTGATGTATGCTGTCAGGAGCTTGGGACCTCTCGACTAGCGGCACAAACACGACGAGAAAGAGCCCGCAGGCGCCACCTTGCAGTGCAGTGATCACGACTCAATATTAGACGTTCACGTGGGCCGTGCATGCTCGTCCCCCTCACCTGTTGTGTGTGATTGATTGGTGTTCCACTCGGCGAGGAGGAGCCCGACAGGGCTTAAAACGCGCCGCAGAGTGCTGGACGTCACTCTGAACTATGTAACGTTCAACCACCACGCTTGTGGTTTGTGAAACCCTAACCTTTCTTTGCTGTAAATAAGTGTAAATAGTGCCATAAACCTGTTTGTTTTCGTATCCTCTTCTTGTCAGCGTTCGTTTCCTCCACCCGGTTACACCACGCTACCACAAGAGACCGGGTAGACCACTATTCGCAACAAAGCCTACAACAATTCCGCCTCCATCGGAAATGCAGCCGCTGCAGCCGGGATTCTATCCAGCGACCTGCATGTCAGCAGCCGAGTAAATTAGCCAGTATACCACCACGGCGATGCACTCTGGTGCGTGGAGTCGAACGTGCGACCTCTTGCTAGTGAGTGCGAAGTATTAGGCATTGAGCCACGAAAGACCACCCCCATGAACGTTGAAAGGGAAAACTATTGATATCTACCACTTGCCGCTGGTGACGCCCATCTCAGGGAAACTATCGTGTTTTCAGAATTACCAGCGAGATGGCGCGATGAGCGCGCGTCGCCAGATCGTCCCGACGTGACGGCTTGCTCCCATCGCACGCGTAATTTGGCCAGCGCAGAGGAAATAGCGCGCGCGCTTCTCTCGCCGTGGAGAGATTCATGCATACGGCTTGGGGTTCGACCGAAATGATTCTGTTGTTACCCGGCGTGCAAACCTGACTGCACCCGCTGCACTGTTCTTGTCTGCGAAAAGAGCGTGCTCTTCAGAAACAGTGAAATAACGAATGACACACTTATTTGCATGAGCAACATGAAGCATATTTAGAGCTGCTTGCCATTCTCCGTGTGACATTCTACATTCTTGCTATCGGATTCAGTGCTTCTTCGCCTTTGCGACAATGCTTTTACTTTTGTGGTTTCTAACTGGCGGTGTATTGGTTTTCACTGAAAATGCGTGAAAGAACTTAAAGTGAACAATAAGTCAACTGAGCAACCAACGCGGCTGCCGTATCTCGGCTTCGTTCTTGTATATTCACGTCACAAGTCAAGCCCATCAGCAAGACCGCCATGACGCGTGCGCGTAATCAGGTGAACAATATGCAAAGAAGACTGGGTGTACACTCAAAGCAAAAGTCACTTGAAGCCAACGCTAAAGCCTAGTTCCAAGGGAACAACCAACCAACTCCATATAATTTTATATCGTTGGCCAGGCCCATCTCATTAGGTCACAGAAAGTGAGCGATTGACATGCTTTCGCATACCTGCTGAAAAAACAAATACGCCACACCTGTCCGAAATACACGCAGAATCACAGCAAAATCAAGAAAACCGGTAAAAAAAGCACTGATTACCATTTGGCAGATCCCACGTACAGTGAGGATCAATGATATGCGAAGCGCGAATGAGAAAAGTTGATATGCTTTTTTTTTTTAAAATCAGCACAACGTTACGAGGTGTAGGTAAATGATGTCGTACATGACTTCCGTGTCCTGATTATCGGGTCTGAATGTCTCGTTTACCTTCATCTTCTACTCACGTCATGTCATAGAAAACTTAGTATATGTTGAGCTAGCGAAACGGCTGTGAGCACGATATCAGCGTGGTTTGTTGTGATGTTCTTACATGACAGGCGTGTCAGGGTAATCATGTTTGACGAGTCATATATTTTGTCCTCCATTTACCTCACGTAACACCAAATTGGGTGTATGTGGAGCGAGCGAAACCGCCGCGCGCGCATCATACCGAGCCTAATATACTCCAAAGTACCGTTGAAGCATGCGCACACTGGGCGCAGCGACACAACATTATCAAAACGTGAGCACTCTATAGTCTGGCGCCAAGCGCGACCAGCGTTCGTCGGCGCGGGCAGACGGCAACCGGCGTGAAATGCGACATGCAGCATTTCGCGCCGATGCGTTACCCGGACAACACTGCGTCTCCCTCTTTCCGCGACGAAGGGACGCCCGATGGGCTGAAACGCGCACGCGTCAAAGCAATGCAGCGTGGCGTGCCCCTTCGAATATAGGACAGGACCGGCGCCTGGCGTGGAAACGCTGGCGTGACGCGACGAAATCAATGCCGGTGAGCACGTGGACCACGTCACGTCGAAGTGAATTGGCACCCTGACTGTGGCATGCAGTCATGTTCTCACATTACATGCATCTCATGATTATCATGTTTGCACCAGTAACATACCTTCTTCATCCATTGGCATCACGTAATAGCAAATTTGGCATATGTGAAGCTAGCGAAACGGCCGTAAGTGCATCGTGAGCGTAGCTTGTGGTCATGCGGTTACATGACTCATATCTAATGTTTATCATGTTTGCACCAGTATCATACGTTTGTCATCCATTCCCGTCCCGTAATACCAAATTTGGTTTGAGTGAAGCTAGTGAAACGGCCGCGAGCGCATCATGAGCGTGGCTTATAGGCATATGTTTACAAAACACGCCTCTCATGAATAAGATGTTTGCAACAGCCACATACCTTCGTCATCCATTCACGTACTGTAATAACAAACTTGCTATATGAGACGCTTGCGAAACGGCTCCGAGGGCATCATGAGCGTGACATGTAGTCATGTTGTTACATGACACGCATGCCATGATTTTCATGTTAGGGTCAGTCACTTGTGTTCACCATGCAGTCATGCCATACCATACCAGTTTTAGTTGTGAAGCATTTCTTGGCGAACTTCGGCAACATTGTGCGTATCTATCTATCTATCTATCTATCTATCTATCTATCTATCTATCTATCTATCTATCTATCTATCTATCTATCTATCTATCTATCTATCTATCCGCCTACGACTTTTTGCTCTCCTGGCCATTTCGATAATGTTATTGATACCAAACTTGGTATGGCATAACATGACTTTACGAAGAACATATCTGACTAGTTATAACATGAAAATCATTATATGTATGTCATCAATGTTATGATTTAAATTTAATGGTCATGCAGTTCTTGCGGTGGTTTCGTTCCCATGGCATGTTGCAAAACCGGTATGGCATGGCATGATTGTTTGGCGAACACAAGCAACCGACCCAAACATGAAAATCATGACATGCGTGTCATGTAACAACATGACTACATGCCACGCTCATCATGCGGTCATGGCCGTTTCGCTGGAGTCACACATACCAAATTTAGTACTACGGTACGTGAATGGATGTCGTAGGCTTGTGACTAGTGCCAACATGATAATCATGAGATGCGTGTCATGTGACATGACTACATGCCACGCTCATGACGCGCTGATGGCTGTTACGCTAGCTTCACTTACATCACACTTCGTATTACGGGACGTGAAAAGAGGACAAAGGTATGATACTGGGCAAACATAATAAACATGATATGCGTGTCATGTAACAACATGCTTACATGCTAGGCTCATGATGTGATTGCAGCTGATTTCACTAGCTCCTTATGTACCAAACTCGGTACTACGCGACGCGAACGGACGACATAAGTAAACCACACATTCCAAAAAGAATAATCATGACATGCATGTCATGTAACAACATGACTACACGCCACACTCATGATGCGCTCGCGGCCGTTTTGCTAGCTTTATATATGCCGAATTTTGTATTATGTAACGTCTATAAAAGACAGAGGAGTGTGGCCGGTGCAAATATGATAATGATGAGATGCGTGTCATGTGACAACATGACTACATACCACAGCTAAGGCCGCAATAAATTTCGTCATGACACGGTGCGCGTGCTCGCCAGCCTTCGACTTTCGTCGCGTCACGCCGGTGTTGCCACGCCAGGCACCGGTTCGTTCTGCATGGTTTGACGCATGCTGCGTTTCAGTGCGTGCCGGCTGATCCTCCATCACGAAAAGAGGGAGACGCAGTGTTGTAAGGGTAAGGCGTTGGTGCGAAACGCAGCATGTCGCATTTTGCGCTGGTTGC